CTAGCTGCCCCCGCGACTGATGGACAAGCCAGAGTCTCCACGCCTCCCTGCCACACTGCATCAGCCCTGGAAGGCGTCGGGGGCGCGGCTTAATATTGGAAGGATGCACTGGAGGGCATATCCTGCCCTCAGCTACTGGCACGGGCACCCCCGCGGCTTCAAACTCGACTTCCGCAGAGATGCCGTCGTCGCAAATATTGGCCAGTCAGAGTGTTCGATTAGCGGCTGGAGTCCCGCCTCCGTCCTTTCCCCCTTGGTTTTCATTGGAAGCACCGCCTTTCTTTTATCTGCCAGGCTCCTCATTGGCTCCTTGACTCTGGGCCCCGCCCTTGGCGGGAGGCTCCATCTGTCCTGTCCCCTTCCTTCCCTAAGTTGGCTGGAGTTTGCGGAGCGCGCGGGGAGACTGTTAGAACGTCACGGGGGGGACGGGGACAAAAAGGCGGGAAAAACTTTATTTTCGTCTCCTAGCGGGCGGCTCCCCTCCTGGAACTGGTTTGCCTCAGTGGGACCTGCTGCGTCCTCTATCGCCACTTTCCTCCCGTCCTGTTGAGGACTGTGAAATTGGTGCGTTTTCTGGACAGGAATAATCCTGAAGTCGTGTTGGCCTTTTTTTTTATATTTAAACCAGGAAATGGGAAACTCTTGGGGATGAGGGAACTGAGTTGCCACCATTCCGTTCTTACAGGGGCCCTGTGCTCTTTTGCCTGTTGCACAGCTGCGCTGCACATGCGTTCCAGTGTAAGCTGCACCAGTTGGGTTTCTGCCTGCCCAGCTGCTTTTAAAGGCAGAGGGCTTCTGCCAGGAGAAGTAGCAAGGTGCGAGTGTTTAGGAGAAGGTGGCATGGCCAAAGATGCAAATGGTGGTTCAGGGTGGCGTGAGCATTGCATTCTGGGGGATTGGATGTAGACCCCGGGTTTAGGTTGGCGTGAGTGGTATGGTATGCCCCGTGTCGGAGGGGAGAGAGAACAGAACTTTCTGCTTGGCTGTTGTAAGATTGACGGGGGTGGGGTGGGGTGGGGGGATGACGACTAGGAGACTTGCCTTGATGAGAAAAAATTATTTTTGGTTGGCAGACTTTAAGAAAGCTTTTTTTAAAAAAACAGGTTGGCGTAGCATGCATCGGGAAGGAACAAGCCCTTCCTCAGTTTGAGTGCAGTGGTTAAGTGCGCGGACTCTAATCTGGGAGAACCGGGTTTGATTCCCCACCCCTCCACTTGCAGCTGCTGGATGACCTTGGGCAAGCCACAGTTCTCTCAGAGCTGTTCTTTCACGAGCAGTTCTTGAGAGAGCTCTCTCAGCCCCACCTACCTCACAGGGTGCCTGTTGTGGGGAAGGGAAGGGAGTTTGTAAGCCGCTCTGTGACTCAGAGTGAAGGCCGGGGTATAAATCCAATCTCTTCTTCTTGACACAAGTGCCATAGTTTACACTGGTGCATTTTAAAGATAGTGTCACACCCCTGCCAAGGGGCACAGGGAGGGCCTCCGTCTACTTGGTGTGGTCTCTACGTGAATGAGGGAAAGAAGCATGAAAGAAATAGTCCTCTGGTTTATGATTGGTGGCTTCTATTCGACTGGCTTTAACTTATGATTCTTTGCATGATGCTTAGCATGAGTACCTCCATATTTGACACTGGGTCTGATGTACAGCGAGCCCTTCCAGCGCTCTGTGGTCATCCCCTAATTTATCCCCTCAGCTGGCAAAAGAGACCAACCCCCTTTGTGTACCCCTCTTGCTGGGCAGGACTCAGCTTCTGACTAGTATGCCAACACTTGGGTTTGCATAGTGCTGTTTTTGTAGATTCCTGTACAGGGTTGTACGACCGGTAACCTTAGATTTATCTTTCTACAAGGCAATTCTCTAGCTTCTGGATTCTCTCTTGGTTCTTTTAGCTTCTTCTAACCACTGCCGTCCGCCCTTCTTCTTTCTAGGCAGCTCTGTCTGGTTGAAGAGCTGATGGCGTCTGCCTCAGGAGCTCTGGGTGCTGAGCTGCTGCAGCCAGGTAACATCTTTGAGTTGACCTCAGGTAAAACTCAGGTGAGTAGAGGGGAAGAACTTTTCCCTCCTTCTCACTTTCTGTCCCCACAGGTTCTGGTAGCCGCCTGCCCCCCTGCTCGCTCACTGATGAAGACCTGGCTGCCTATCCTGGTTTGGCTAATCTCCTTATGAGCTTGACGAAACATATGGACTCAAGTGGGCTCAGTACCAACTTGGCACAACAGCTAGAGGAGGTAGGATAATCGCTGTGATCCAGCCAGGCTGTTTTGCGCTACTTAGTCCTGCTGCATGTGTGGTAATGGGTATAAAGTTCACCAAAAGCAAACTTGCAGGCTTTGCCACTGGGAAAAGAAGGTCTTGAAATTGGGGGGCCCATTCCCTTGCAGAATCTCTGAAGGTAGAAGAGAGAGGATAGCAAAGCTTCCAGTGGCCTGTGGTCGGGCTTCAGCATGTTACATATTTATTTTTCCCTTCTCTCTGGCTAGCAAAAAAAATTAGGCAAGGTAATCACTGGTTACATAAGAACATAAGCCAGTGTTGGATCAGGCCAATGGCCCATCCAGTCCAACACTCTGTCACACAGTGGTATTGTATTTGTATGTCTATATGTTTTTACTAGGAGCAAAGCCCATTGTGGAGGAAGACAACGGTCCCTAGCACGGTGCAACGGAGGCGTCCCCAGTCTCCCAATCTCTCCCACTGCTCGACCCCCCCGGAGTCGGGGGGTGAGGGAGTGGCTGGGTGATCTCCAGCCCCCACCCAATAAGAGGCCAGCCAGCTGCATGTAGTTGGTGGTGGCGGCGGCAGGATCAGGCACGGTCAGAGGCGGCCCCCGCGCACTGGAGTGGGCAGTGCGGCCGTCGTCCGGGCGCAGGGCAGCCGGGAGCCAGGCTCATGTGAGGGCGGCGGTGGGAGCGGCTGGGCCGCCCCTCGTCAAATTGCACGAAGGCCGGGCGGCGACGCATGTTCAGGCAAGGGTGGTGGCGGCAGGCAAGGGCCACGGCCCCCCAGTGGTGCATGCAGCCTGTCTGTCGTCGGGCCGCATGCAGCCCGGCTGGCTATGGGCGCTTGGGAGAGGATGGACATGGTGGGTGTTTGGGTGGTGGGGCAAAACTCTGCCACGGTGTCTTCGAATTGCAGGGCATGTTCGCCCCGGCGCTACATCTGTGGGCGGGCGTCAGAGACTGTGGCAAGTGGCCAGTGTCCCCGGCATGAGTGGCGGCTGGCTCAGGCTACGGCTGAGGGAGCGCGTCGAGCGTGGCCACGCCAAAGCAGCTCTCTCTTCGAATCGCAGGGCACGTTCACTCTGGCGCCGCCTCTGTGGGCGGGGGGCAGAGACCGTGGCCAGTGGCCAGCGTCCTCGGCGTGAGTGGCGGCTGCTTCAGCCTATGGCTGAGGGAGCACATCGAGCGTGGTCACCCCAAATTAGCTTTATAATATAGAGATTGTGCAGTGTAATATTTTACATATGCTTTATAAATGCTGCTTTAATGTTTTAAATGCTTAGATCAGGGGTCTCTAATGTGGTGTCCACTGACATCTTTCCTGGCACCTGCCAAGTGTTTTTTGGGCCGGGCTGGGTGGGGCTTTTATCCAGCATGGATTCTTTTGCCAATGGAGATACGATTGTCTGTGCAGATTTTTAAAAATGTCGCTTTGGCAGTAGCTGCCAACGCTGCAACCAGGGATCTTTGCTGTGTGACCGAAGGTAAGCTGGGGTGATCCTTCTGTGGCTGACTCTGTCTCCTGAGGCAGCCATTTTGTGGTGTTGCCCACCATGCTCTGTCAGAATTGTGAAGCTGCCGGGCAGGCTCAAAAAGTCTGGGGACCCCTGGTTTAGAAGTTTGCTGCCATGGGGACTCGATTTGGCTAGAAAGACAGCATAGAAATGTTTCAAATGAATAAATAAAATAAATATATGTGAATTCATTGCAAAGTCTGGCAAAGCATGAGATGAAATTTGACTCTTCTGCACACACACACACACCGTAGAGCATAAATAACAGTGGACAATTTTAAGAATGGTGGGTTTGTTTTATTTTGCTGCATTACCCGTACTGCTGCTCATTCCTTTCTCACTTTCCTCCACCCACAGGCAAGGAAACAATTACATCTCTCCCGAGCAAACTGGCTGAAGTGGGAGGCTCTACACCGGGTTCTTCAGGAGGCCCTGAGGGACTTTGGGTCTGGACTCGCTGCACAGGAGAAAAAAGTAGTGCTTGACAAGAAATGAAAAGTGTCTTGGGGGAATGAATGAATGGTCAAGGGCAGTCAGTAGGAATCTGGAATGGGGCTGGAGATCTTGAGAGAGGGGAGGCTGAAAGGTTTTGACGTAAAGGTTATGGAAAGGAATCACAGTCAAATGTAACTGAGCTCCAAGACGGCTGTTGGATTTGAACAGGGCTTTTTTTGTAGAAAAAGCCCAGCAGGAACTCATTAGCATAATAGGCCACACCCAACACCAGGAACTCATTAACACGTTAGGCCACACCCTGACAGCACAGCTCATTTGCATATTAGGCCACACCCCATGTTACCAGAAGTGTACTCATTTATCCACACCCACCTATTGCTTCTTATTCTCTTTACCTTGTTTGTTGTCAAAACCCAGGGCTTTTTGCATGTTAGGCCACACACCCCTAATTGTAGCCAATCCTAATGAGTTTCTGCTGTTGAGTGTGGCCTATTATGCTAATGAGTTCCTGCTGGGCGTGGCCCACTTGGGAGCCAACCGGAACTCCGTTCCTGTGCGTTCCTGCCCCAAAATAGCCCTGGATTTGAAGAAAAAGCAGTGAGCTGACAAAGCACGTTTGGGGAAGTAGAAAACTCGAGAGGAGTCTAGAAGTACTTGAATTGATGTTCAGGGGTCATATGTATGTGGGGCTGTCTGAGGCTTGTGGAAAAGCAACGGATGGGTGTGGTCAGGCTTCTGAGGGGGTTGACTGGAGGGGGTTTTTTTGGACAGCCCCTTGCAAAATCTCGCTGTGTTGCCTTTCAGTTTTTAGAAGTCTTGGAGCAGCAGCTTTTGGTAGGTGAGCTGAGGCGAATCCTTGACTTTGGCCCTTCTGCGCAAGCTGTGCAGCCGTCCCTCCTAGGTTTGGTGCCCTCTGACCTCTCGGAGCTTCTTCCCCCTAATCAAGTAAGTTAGGCATATTCCCTTTCTGCACTAAGTAAGTGGGATTGTTGAGAGGGATGCCTATGTCGAGGCACAAAAACCACCTGTTGGCGTTGCTTTTACTAAATGGTTCTTTTATTCTAAACATCTGACAAATGGTGGACCTTGCATGGTATGGATTGTGAGCCAGTTTGGTGTAGTGGTTAAGTGCACGGACTCTAATCTGGGAGAACCGGGTTTGATCCCCCACTCCTCCACTTGCAGCTGCTGGATGACCTTGGGCAAGCCATAGTTCTGATAAGAGCTGTCCTTGAAAAAGAGCAGTGCCTGTCAGAGCTCTGTCAGCCCCACCGACCTCACAGGGTGTCTGTTGTGGGGAGAGGAAGGGAAAGGAGTTTGTCAGCCGCTCTGAGACTCCTTTGGGTAGTGAAGGGCGGGGTATAAATCCAATCTCCTCTCCTCTTCTGTAAAGGTGAGTTTAGCAAGTGGCCCGAGGCAAGGAATTGGTCTAGGTGCTGCATCATCTATCCAGCACCTGGTCTTCCAAAAGTTATGTTGATACTAGTTGAAATATATAGGCTTAACTGTCAGGCTCTTAAAGGAATCTTGGGAATTGTAGTTCTGTGAGGGAAATATCCCTCTCTAATGGAATCCAAACAGAAGGTACTTTCCCCACCAGACCCAATGCCAGAAGTTTTATTTCAATAATTTGCAATCTACTAAAGTAGTTTCTGATAACAGTAAAAGTAACGTAAACGTTATAACTCCAGGAAGAAATACCTGCTAGCATGAGAGGGCAAAGAAGAGTTCATTTAGGTTCTGCTCTGTTCTTTCATCCCTGCGTCATAACAGCTAGTTGTATGGATGAGCAGTGGTCCACTTGGGGCGATTGCTTTTCCGTTGCTGGTGTTGGATGTGTCCAACGCTTTGCCTAAAAGCGCTCTAATATTTCCTGTGAACCCTGAAGGGAGGTAGTAGCACTTAAATGAGTTTGTGCTGATGTGGTCTGTGCCTCTGTACTTTGCCCCAGGAGCTGGAGGAGATGCAGAAGCGCCTTCCCGTGGAGTTGGAGAAGCGTCTTAAGCACAAGTGCTCGGCTATGCTGAGTTACTTCTGTCCAGAGAGTGGTAAGACCCTCACACTGCTGAGCTGGGGGGGGGGGTTGCCCTTTCGAGGCGAGGCCCCCAGAAGGAACAACAGAATAGAGAGAAATTGATGGCCCAGCACGAAACTTATTAGGAGTGTCCGCCAGCTGACTTCTCCTCTTGCAGATGGTGCTGGACAGATTCCTCGGGCAACTATGATGGGGTCCCTGGCGGAAAGTTTAGCTGCAGAAAAACAGCGCCTGCAGGAGGCCCGTGATCGGGACCGAGAGCTCATGGGGTTGCTGGAACAGCAGAAGGCTGCCTATCCTCAGGTAAGCAAACCAAAGAGAGAGATCACAAGATGGAAGTTGAGAAGAAGCAAACATCCGTGATGTATTATGCCAAAAAAGTCTCCAAAGAGTAGAAATTTCTTTTTTCTTTGGAGACTTTTTTGGCATAATACATCACGGTTGTTTGCTTCTTCTCAACTGCCCCCAGGTAAGGGCTGGAGGAAAAAGCCTCGCCACTGGGTTGTGCATCTGGTAAGGATGTGAATACTCCCTGCTGAGGAAATCAAAACTCTCTGTCCAGAATTATGCTCATAAGTACATCTGTGCTTCAACTAACTTTGCATTCAGTTTCTTTTTCTTTTTTTACAATATTCAGGGTAGTGGAGGTGGAAACTGGTAGGTACTAGGAATATGAGCAATAGGGGCAGGGCTTTATATATTTATAATATTTCTATGCCGCCTCTTCAGAGTCTTACTCAAGGCAGCTCACAATTAAAAAACATAGCAATATAAAACGAGACATTGGACATAAACAACATAAGGTAAAAGGTAAAGGTTCCCTTGCTCGAAAGCCAGTCAAATCCGACTCTAGGGTTGCGGTGCTCATCTCCGTTTCAAAGCCGAAGAGCCAGCGCTGTCCGAAGACGTTTCCGTGGTCATGTGGCCGGCATGACTAAACACCAAGGCGCACGGAACGCTGTTACATAAACATAAACAACATAAAACTACCCTTAAAAACAGACCTCAGATCAGAAGCAGATCATTTTAAAAAGTGTGTAAGATAAAACCTCTAATAACCAACACTATGTTATCCCGGTGCCTCAACACTGCCTGCATTGGCTTTCATATAGGATGCCAGGCAGCACTTGTTTTAACCACAAACCACCCCCCCCCCCCCAGCTTGTGTCCTTTGTATCTTTTAAGAATGTTTCCTTCTTCAGGTCATATTAGTCCATAGTGGAGGCCGTGCACGGTCACCTCCCTTTTTACTTTTTCCAGGCATTGTCAACATGTTTACTTTCCCCCCCATGATTGCAAGAGCTAGAAACTTGCCTCGAACCCATGGGTTCTATGCTGTGACGTGTGCCTTTCTCCTTGTTTGGCTTCCTGTAGGTCCTGTTACGCTGCTTAGTCCTACTAAAACGCTTTGCCCGTGAATATCGTCTTGGTGCTCAGTCCGAACTTGACTCCCTCAATACCCAGTACCTGGAAATCAAATGCAGTGCCATGTTCCTCAAGATACGGTAAGCTTTTGCCCTCTCCTTTGTGTGCCTGGAAGGTTCTGAGGTTAGTGGAGCAAGAGGTTGAGCTAGGCAAGTCAGGGGTTTATGTATTTGCTTTCAGAACTCCGTGGCTTCCAATATAAATAAAACATATACATTAAAAATTGCTTATGAATGCGGGAGTGAAGAAATAAGAAGTGAGGCAAAAGATTTGTGCCTTAAGCCAAGGTAGATCAAAGATTTCATTCGTGAGAGAAAATTGGAGTCCAGAAGTCATTCAAGCACCATTTTAACCTCTTTCTAAAAAGAGTAGACAGACAGTGTCTGTGAGTGGAGGGTATCAGAAGGTGTATGTCAGAAGTCTGATAGGTGCAAGAGATCAGTGCATGTTTAACTATGTTTTCTGAACAAATTTAATCTGTCGTAGACTTGAAGAATTGAGCGTTCTCTTGGAAACCTATGTACCTGAGAAGGTGGATGTACACCAGGTGATGAGGTTAGTGGGGGAGAGACGGTCTTTGTTTGAAATAATAGAACTCTGCAATGGGTGCGATCCATTGAGTCTTAATATTATGGCAGGAACAAATGCAGTCAACAAAGGGATACCAGCAATGTTCCCTCTAACTGGTAGAGTCTTGTGAGCAGAAATTCTACCTTGTGAGCTCCTGGCATTAAAGTTGTGAGCGAGCGATTTGGCTACTGCATAAATTAGTTTGCTCTGGAGCCATCCTTCCTGAGCGAAGACAAAAACGTGTGAGCTAGAGGCTAAAAAACTGTGAGCTAGCTCACACTAACTCAGCTTAGAGGGAACACTGGATACCAGTACATGATTATTTAAAATATTACTATGTTTATTATTTGGTTATTTGTAGTTCGCCTTTCTAACTGAGACACAAGGGGGATCACATAGTCTAAGTCAAGTACAGTCAATAGACTGAACAGCCAGTGAACATCACAATAGGGTTTGGATTAGAAAATCTGAAAAGAAACCAATCTCAAACAGAGCTGAAACAAAGCATGAACTTCTAAACATATGTTAAGTGGTGTAGAAACTACCCTAGTCTGGCACATACTTAAAGTGATAGGTAGCAATACACTAGCGTAAGCCACATGGTACTCTAATTTGGAAGAATCGGCATGCAGAGTTTTGTGGTGACCTACATTCACACTAGACTGTATTGTCTGGGCCTGGTTAAAGGGACATAGAGGCACTGTGCTTGAACTCTGGTCCCACATTTCCTTGTTCGCGGCCTCCATGCAGTCCTACATGTAAGACTGCAGCTTGTGTCCTTGAGACTTTGATGTGGCACACGGATAGGCTCTTTGTTAAGCCGACTGTAGAGATTGTGATAGGTCAAAGGGAAGCAAGGACATAAATTTCTAGTGCCTGTTTGATAATGTGATTCTCAAATTCTTTGGTTAAAATATAGACTGGGGAATAAGTGAGCAGATCGGAGTCTTTTATGCAGTCTATTGGAGAAGTAGGACAGGAATGGATGATGGAAAGAAGCTTGAAGGCATACAGATGAATGGGATGGGAAACGTCATTCCATACATTGCTCTGTTTTGCAAGAGCTTTGGCAACACCCTGGTAATTAATTGTTTTCTTTCCAGGGACAGACTGCAGGCAGCCATACGCCAAGAAGAGCAAGATTTAGCTGCTTCCCGCAAGATGCTCTCAAGCTATGAGATTCTGGGCCCAGAGTTTGAGGAACTGGTGAAGGAGTATGCCCGGCTGCAAGCCATCATTGAGAACAGGCGCTGGGTGCTGACGGAATTCAACAAAGACTGAGATTTCACACGAAGCGTGGGAAGGGCCTCGTTTGGAATGTTGACCGGTGGATGCATAGTGGCTACTTTATAAAAAAATACTTGCAGGAGAAATGCGAAGGAAACGAGTTAACATCTTGTGTTGCTTATGAAAAGAGCTCCTGGTGGCCATTACCTTGCTGCTGCAACACATCCACTCATACTGTTTTCCCTCCATCCCCCCCCTCCTTCCCCCAAATTGCCAACAGCATGTTGGGCTTTTCTCAGAATCTGTTTCAGCCTCTCTAAAGCACGGATAAAACCCAAGAGGCCTGTACCGATATCCCAAATAACAGAATTTCATATTAGCCTGCTGTGCCTGGAGAAAAAACGCTGTGCCCGTTGATAAGAGTGAATAAATAGTACTGGCTGTAAATATCGTCTTGCTGGCTTGGCTCTTTATTGCAAAGCGAAAACAGAACCAAGAAACCTGGAGCCCTCTGCTTGCAGTCCCTGACCCTGTCTTCTCTCGTTTGCAGATGAAATCTTCAGTTAAATTGTTAACAGCCCAGTGTATACGGTCTTCCATGTTGTGTTATGTGGGTGCTGCACGAAGCAGTGATGTGAAATGATAGGCTTTTGCTGTAAAATAGGCTCGGAATAGGGGCACTTTCTGTCTTCTGTAGTAGATCATGGCCAACTTAAAGAGACTTTCAATGGTTAGTTTCAATCATTAACTCTGTAATGGTTGCTATTTAATTATCTTTGTCTCCATAGTTAAATACAAATCAGAGCCCTTTTTATTGCTTATTAAAGAGGCTAATTTTGTGCCACTGTTTTAAAAATTACCCCTTGGAGGAAAGAAGAAGTGCTTTTCAAAGATAGCATGTTCACCTTTGGGGAAAAAACATATCAAATGGGATTTTGACAGCTCTTCCTAGCGATGAAGTCTGCTAGGAAAGGCCGAAACCTGGATTTTCTGCACATGCCACAGCAGTTGCTAAATGGTGTTCGGGGTAGGCAATTAAATATTCACCGTGTTTCAAATCTGGATCTCGCATAGAGAAGGTTCAATTCAGTGGTGGGGAATTTGGCCTTGGAGGTACTAAAACATTAGTGAAGCTTGGTTAATGTGTATATTTAATGCATATTTTATAGAAAGTAGTTAAGTTGCTGCTATTCCGTAGTATGAGTGCTTAGGCAGAGCCAGAAGCAATTAAGCAGGTGCAGTTTCTCCCATTGGGAGGTCTCTATGGCTCCAGCTGCTGTTTTGTCTCCCTGCAGTTGATAGGAGTCAATGCACAGCAGCCAGGACTGGGGGGGAGGGGGGAGATTTGACTTCACAAGTGGTCCAGCGCTGTTTGTGAAATAGGCATTGTTATCACAGTTTGTAAATGGCTATATCTGTTAATACTGTTAAAAATGGCTATATCTGCAAACCGCTTCACTATGAAATATTAATTAGTCCCTCAGTATATATAAATATTTCGGATAAAAAATGGATTAAATTGTTGCATCGTGTTCAGGTTTTTTCAGTACAGGGGAAAAAAATACATCTTCGAGCCAGCCAGGAGTCGAACCTAGAATCTTCTGATCCGTAGTCAGACGCGTTATCCATTGCGCCACTGGCCCTCAGATGTTTTGTAACAGTTGCGACAGCTTCCCTATATGGACTACGACTGAGGACGTGACTCGCAAGCTGTACAAAAGAAGGGCTTCCTATCGTAATGCATGCTGGGAAACATAGTTCTTCAGTCGAGCGTTCGGAAGCCACTTTTAAGAGCAATGCGCGCTGGTATTTGTAGTGCGAAGAAAGGTTAAAGGTTGCATGCGTTGACCATCGGGAAATAGAGTCCAAAACACCCTCTACTTCTAGGAGCATGATGGGAAATGTGAATTTCGCCTCGCGCGCCTTCAACAAGCCGGGGGGGGGGAGAAAGGCACCTCCTCCTGCCCCGCCCACATCTAGGCTTTTTATTGGCTCAACCTTGACAAGGCTGGTTCCTCCCCTCCCTATGGCTGGGAAAGCTTTCTGTTGATTGGGCGGCTGTCGGAAGTGTGGCCGCTGATTGGCCCGAGTTGCGAAGAAGGCGTGTCCAGCTGGCTCTCGCCTCTCTGTGTGGCGGGCATGGCGGCGACTGCAGCGGCGATGGCGGCAGCGGCGGTGGCTGGAGCGGCAGCAGCCGCAGTGGCCCGCGTCTCCTGCGGGAGGGACTTGAGCTGCGTCCCGGAAGTGGCCGGCACTCTGGGGGCGGTAGCCCGGCAGGGGTGAGAGAAACCACGTGGTACTCCTGTGTGACCTCTGACCCCAGTTGCTAAGCCCCGGTGACCAATGAACCAACCTGGGGGGTTTGTGTGTGTGAGGGGGATGCTCTTTTGAATTGTACTCCTACAAATATTTATCACGACTAATTGTCCATTGTGGTGACCTTTGACCCCAGGACAGAGAGGTCATACTCCCTGAGCCTGCAAGAGGTCATGGCTGACCTCAACTGATGCTTGTCTGGTAGGGCTGCTGTCTATGTCTTTATCTGATGTACAGCAGGTAGAAACTCCACAGGTGATGCTTTCCCATCATAGAGATGGCAGGGATGGGAAATATGCCCACCATATAAGTCTTAAAGGTGTAGGTAAAGGTAAAGGTAAAGGTTCCCTTGCTCGAAAGCCAGTCGAATCCGACTCTAGGGTTGCGGTGCTCATCTCCGTTTCAAAGCCGAAGAGCCAGCGCTGTCCGAAGACGTTTCCGTGGTCATGTGGCCGGCATGACTAAACACCAAGGCGCACGGAACGCTGTTACCTTCCCACCAAAGTGGTACCTATTTATCTACTTGCAATTTCTTGCTTTCGAACTGCTAGGTTGGCAGGAGCCCTGCCTAAAGCAAAGGTGTAGGAGCCCTGCCTAAAGCAATGGTGGCAACATGATATCTGCCCCTTTGCCTAGCAAGTATTCATGTATCTGAGACTCAGGGCAAATTACGTAGGGTACTCAACAGGATGCAGCATCCAGTGAACAGTATAGTAAGGTTTGGACTGCAGAAACCTGAAAACAAACAGATGTCTCAAATAGAGCTGGAAAAAAGCATGAGCTTCTAAACATGGTACGTTAAGTGGTGTAGGAAATACCTAGTCTGGTACATACTTACAGTGGTAAGCAGCCCTTAACTCTTTATCAATGCAGCTTTCTGAGACGATTTCAATATAGTACAGTCCTATTTATCTGTCCAAAAAATTCACTCTTGAATGAAAACTAAAGCAGGATGCTTTCAGTTGGGCCCCATGCGTGAAGAGAGGTGGGTGGAAGCCCAAACATGTCTCAGGCAAAGAAGTTTGTTACGATTCCAAATCTGACCTGTAAAATTATTATTTCATACTTAAAAAAAAATAATTAATTGATTGGCAGCTTATGGTCTTGTGTTTTTGTCACCAAGCTCTTATCAATTTCTTCTACCCCCAATTTCTCAATCCACAGGTTTGATTTCCTCTGCATGCCCATTTTCCATCCTCGATACAAGAGGGAGTTTTTCCTGGAACCACCTAAGAGCCGGTCGGGTCCCCAGACCCGCTCTGACCTGCTGCTCTCAGGAAGAGGTGAGAACATCAAAGGCCTCGTTGCTTTGATGGATTTCTATTTCTACTGACCAGACGAGATTCAGTGCTTGCTTCCTTTAAGAAAAGAAAAGAAAAAAGAATCCGTTCCGTTTATCTCACACCTATTCTGTGGCACTTCGGGGGGGTCACAAAAATTGCACCGAGAACTAAATTCCCTGTTAAAAGCAGGGCTATTTTTGGGCAGGAACGCACAGGAACGGAGTTCTGGCTGGCTCCCAAGTTGACCACGCCCGGCAGGAACTCATTAGCATAATAGGCCACACCCAACAGCAGAAACTCATTAGGATTGGCTACATTAGGGGTGTGTGGCCTAACATGCAAAGGAGTTCCTGCTACAAAAAAAGCCCTGGGTTTTGACAGCAAACAAGGTAAACAGAATAAGAAGCAAAAGGTGGGTGTGGCTGGATGACTATACTTCTGGTAACATGGGGGTGTGACCTAATATGCTAATAAGCTATGCTCTCATGGGTGTGGCTGGATATGCTAATGAGTTTCTGTTGGGTGTGGCCTATTATGCTAATGAGTTCCTGCTGGGCTTTTTCTACAAAAAAAGCCCTGGTTAAAAGATCTCTGTATCTGTATGTGTTACCCCACTTTTGCTTAACTTCAGCGTTGCATACAGGGATTGTACAGTGTTTGGGGGAAATATTCAAGCTTGGAATTGGATAGTTGTCTAATGGGAGTAAGTTCATATGAAGCCGTTCTGCCTGAATCAGACCATCGGTCCGTCACAGTCAGTGTTGTCTACTCAGACTGGCAGTGGCTCTCCAGGGTCTCAGGCTGATGCCTTTCGCATCGCCTACTGCCTGGTCCTTTCAACTGGAGACGCTGGGGGATTGAACCCTAGGATCTTCTGCATGCCAAGCAGATGCTGTACCACTGAACCACAGCCCCTCCCCTCTGTTTTTCTGTTGTGGGCAGGTCCCAGAGAATGTCTCTCTGTCTGCCCTGACTGCTCAGTGCTCAGAGCCAGTTTGGTGTAGTGGTTAAGTGCGCGGACTCTAATCTGGGAGAACCGGGTTTGATTCCCCACTCCTCCACTTGCACCTGCTGATGTGACCTTGGGTCAGTCACAAGCTCTGGCACAGCTGTCCTTGAAAAATAGCAGTTTGTGTCAGAGTTCTCTCAGCCCCACCTACCTCACAGGGTGTCAGTTGTGGGGAGGGGGAGGGAGAGACTCCAAGTGAAGGGCGGTGTATAAATCCAATCTCTTCTTCTTCTTCATGTGCTACAATCTAGGAAGGTGCTTTTGGTCAATCTTGAAGGGTTATGCTATATATCTTGCAGGGCTGGCGGCCCTGGACAAGCTGTCTGCCCTCCCCCAGTCAGAGGGTTTTGGCTCTAATCACCATAACCAGTGTTCCCTCTAAGCTGACTTAGTGTGAGCTAGCTCCCAATTTTTTAGCCTCCGACTCACACATTTTTGTCTCGGCTCAGGAAGGAGGGCTCCAGAGCAAACTGATTTATGCAGTAGCCAAATGGTTCACTCACAGCTTTAATGCCAGTAGCTCACAAAGCAGAATTTTTGCTCACAACACTCCACAGCTTCAAGGG